AACATTTACAATAATTGTTAAGATATTAATTAAAATTATCTTTACTTAATTAAAATTAAGTAAAATAGTTAAGTTATAATTGTTATATTTTTCCTCGTGTGCATACATTAAATAAAATAAAGCAAAAAAATCGTGTGCCATTTATCAAATGGCTACGTAGATTGATAATTATTAAACGTGTACGTACTGAAAGATTAAAAGATTTAAGAAAATATTTTTTTATTATTAATCCTATGTGATCATTAGTTATTAATTTTTTTACATAAATTTATAAGAATAAATATAAAATGTACAGGATATAATAAAGAGATATTTAAATAATGGATAACTAATATATTATAAATATGTATAATGTAATGAATATATTAGTAAATAAATATGTATTCTTACAATTTCACAAATTTAGAGAATGTTTTTATTTTTCAAGAATAATAATATAAAAAAGTATAGTTTATTACAAAAGCATTTAACATTTTTAGAAGGTACTTTATAATAATTTACAATAAATGAGAAATAATTTCTCTTTTCTCTGCTCCGTTTATAAACACATTTTCATTAATAACTTGCATTTCTATTGGATTTAAATCCATTGGTTCATTTTCATTTTCTAATGGTGCATCCTCATTTTCTATATGTACATATGTTATGTAACATACAACAAGTAAGAATTACCAAGGGGATCATTTCCGTATTATACATGTAAATATATTTTAATTTTCTAAATCTTCCTTTTAGAATACCAAACGCACGCTCAATAGCTACACGAGTTCTTGAGTGTTTAATGTTAAAATTTCTCTGTCCATTGTTTAAGTGACCATTATCTCGATATGGTGTTAACAAGTATTTTGATAAGGGATATGCTGAATCACCTAACAGATGATATTGATTTTGGAAATATCTATTCTCGTCATTTGTTATTAACTGCTTAATATGACTTAAACGCCAAACTCTGGCATCATGAACACACCCACATAGACCCGTAAAAACATCAATAAATTTTAACTTATAGTCACAAATGCCTTGTAATACTATTGAGTGATAGCCTTTACGGTTAATGTAGCTATCCGCATTTTCAATTGGTGCACTTATAGCAATATGGGAGCCATCAATTGCTCCAATTACCCCAGGGAAACCACTTAATTGATGAAATTCTCGTTCAAAGTTTATCATTGCATGTGGTTCAGGCCATTTTATATACCTCTCAACATCTGTAGTGAGTAGCATCATAACTTCAAATATAGTTTTCCAGACGGTATCTTTAGATATACCAAACCTATCTGCTACTGATCTAAAACAGAAATTTTATATATTTATATATAAAATTAGAATTGTGTAGTGTGTGTGTTTGTACACAGTTAGGTAAGTTTGGATCGATTTCTAGCAAAGTTTGAAAAAAGTCGAATGTTTTTCACATACTAATAAAGACACTAACCTGTAAACTTCCTGATTACCAAGGCACCATAATGTTAGAGCTATTTGTTTATGAGGGGGCATTTTTGGAGCACCATATTCGTGGTATAAACGAGGTCCAAAGTCTTGCACCAATCTTTCATACGTATGCTTTTCTAGTCGAAAGTGTGACTTGAAATCTGATGAAACAATGTTAATATTATGTATTACTTATAAGAAGAAACATCAGCAAAAAGTTATAACAATGAAATATAATAAAGCAAAACTAATAATCATTTCTACCAATGTAAATTAATTTTAATTTTGTTTTAACTTCCTTTTCTACTGCTAAGAATGTGAGAAAGTAAGTTGAAAAGCAGATTGAACCAAGGTTAAAGTTAATTTACATGGGTAGAAATGGACTTAAGTCTCTTACCTCTGTTAAAGAATATGTTAATACAACAGTTTCAAAGAAATTTGGGATTTTAGGATGATGCTCGCCTTCAGGTTGATGCTCGATAATATCATCATCGTCATCCGATGGATTATCAAATAAATCCCACATTCCTTGTATATCCATCTGAAATTATTGTATAGATGGTCCTGTGAACTTGGCACACCATACCTAAAAATCTCAAAGTTTTTTTAGAGTTCTGACTTTCTTTTAAATAATTCTAGAGTTCTATATAAGTATTTTAAATAGTTCCGATAATTAAATATAAAAAAATCGAATTTGAAAATATGGTGCGCTATAAGTTCACGCAGCGCACCAAATCATGAAAATCAATTATTTCTTCGGAGTTCTAGTTTGTTTTACAATAGTTCTACAGTTCTATATCAAATATATCAATAGTTCTAGCAATTAGAAG